GGCCTCACCCCCTCTGGGCGGAGGGATGGGGTGGGATGGACGGCCCTGGGGACAGAGCAGGGCATTTCACCTGACTGGGAAAGGGCTTAAAATAAATCCCACGCTGCCCCAGTCTGGCTATTTAAAGGGGCTTATCTAAGAGGTTTAGGTGCAGACTGAGAACAGCAAGAAATCTCTGCACCTCAGTCCCCTCCAAGACATCAGGAAATCCTTCCGCGTTTCCCCCACGGACTCGCAGGATGCCCTCCCGCTCCCACCGCTTGCCCAGGCAACTCAAAGGCTCCTGTGGGATGCGTGAAGCTTATCCCAGCCCCGCAGCAGCACACACTTCTCCAGAGGTGATTCCCTCCTCCCTGGGGACTGTGCTGCAGCCGTGCCCGGGGTGGGTGTCAGTGCCACCATCCCCATCGCCCCGGAACCCCCCGTGAGATGGAAATCCAGCTGTGCCCAGTGAGACACCCCCTGGGGGAAAAAGCCACCCTGTGCCGCTCAGAGAGTGTGGGTTTTTTAATAAATACCTTTTTTTTTTGCACAGAAATAGATCAAGTTTGACAGAATACAAACTGCAGGGATAATGACCAAGCATCAGACAGAGGATGCAGAGCACCCTTCTGTCTCCCTCCGGCCTTCTCCAGGCTCTGACCCTGATGCTCGCTGTTGGGTCTCCCCAGAACCCTGATTTGCTAAGGCCAAAGGCAGAGAAAAGGCCTGGGGAGGGGACAGACAAGGTGCCAGCAGCTGCAAACCCCAGGAACGGCCACGCTGGGCACAGCTCAGCTCGGGGCTGGGCACGTGCTGCGCGAGCATCGCTGGGACAGAGCAGGGTGCGGCAGCCGACGGGCGCGCAGCGGCCTTTGGGTGCTGGTGGAGAGACTGGTGCTGGGGTGAACACCGAGGGGTGGCAGTGCTGGGAGCTTCTGGGCTACTCCTGGGGTGAGCACAACCCCCTGTTTAACCCATCAGCCGTGAGTGGGGAAGGACAGCCCGGTTGCTTGGACCCCAAAAGCGGCTGCCCAGGAAAGGGGAACGCTGGTCCCACAGCAAAGCACGTGGCTCTGCCCTGCCCTGGCACCACAACCAGGCGGTGGTTGGCAGCAACAGGGCTTGGCCCTACTCCCGATCCACCAGCATCGCCGGGTCGTGGCATGCTCACCTATGCAGCCACCCCGGCCACAGCCACCAAGCACTCCAGAGGGGCCTGCAGCAGAGTGGGGTCTCCCATTCCCCTCCACCTGCTTTGGAGGACAGAGAGCCCCAGAGACAGGGGCCAAGTGGGATGGAGAGGTTTGGCATCGGGACGGGGGACGTTTGGCCCACCCGCAGTCTCCCTGTGCCAGCATCCCACTGCTGGGGCAGACACCAGACAGGCCATGCTCCAGGAAAGAGAAGCATCCCCAGCGCTTAAAGCCATGGGACCACCTTTGGCTGGAGGTGAGAGATGGCTCCGCGGGCCAGCTCTGCCGCAGCCAGAGCTCCAGCTGCCCGGCATCCCACAGGGGAAAAGCGGAGAGAACCAGGGAAAGGGCCTGCTACTCCAAAGTCACTTACCTCGTGTACAAGATCACCACAAACCTCTCTCCCTTTCCCAAGGGATCTAGGAGATCAGAAAGCACCTTCCTGACTGCTCCTCCCTGATCTCCAGACAGGAAATATTGCTACAGGCACCACAGGACGGACCAGTCCCCACTCCCACCTGGCAGCAAATCCACACACGGGCGGCACCTTCTCCCCTATCCCAGAACACGGACACGGGCTGTGGAGATGGACAGAAATTTGCCACACCCCTCCTGCATCCCCAACTCCCCACCAGAGCCCCGAGGAGCGAAGCGGCGCCCATTGGGGACAGGGGATAAGGCTGAGCGGCACCCAGGGAGGCAGCGAGGCTGCTTTCATCGCGGGAAACGTTATGTCTGTCCGAGGGGAGAGTGAGGAAATCGAACGCACCATGGGGAGACCCCGCGTTGAGCCGGGAAGGAGCTGCCGCTCTGCTCCGGCTGCCGCCGCTCCCCCAGGACCGGTAGC